ATGCTCAGGGAGGGGCAGCCATCTGAAGGTGGGAGGTTAATAGAATAGAATAGAATTCAACTTTATTGTCATTGCACATGTCACAGGTACAAGGCAACGAAATGCAGTTTGCATCCATCCAGAAGTGCTTTAGCCATGATATAGATATATTACAAATATATATTAGCAATAATATAGATATGTAAGTATATTACAGAAATGGGTCTATTGTGGTATGTAATAATGTACACGGTATGAAGGTATGTTATGAATATGCTATAACTAGAAGTATGTACAGGCTGTAGTGAGTACAAGCTATGTACAGGATATAAATGTGGAAAAACAATACAGAATATGAAATAAAAAAAACTATACAGAAATATGAGATATACAGCTATACAGAAATGTGAACTATGCAGGTTATAAACAGTTGTAGAATTAAAAATTATCGTATGTACAGAATGATTATTTACACAGAATTATACAGTAGTGCAGTTAAAATAAGTGAGATATGTGGATAATTTCTACAGAGGCTGTATAAAGTGCTAGTGGTTGTGAGTGGTGGTTCAGTCCATGTTGTTATTGTGTGTATGAGGGTACAGTTGTCCATTTTGTGTGGGTGTGGGTGGGTGTGGGTGTTTGTATCTCCTAACTAAGTGCCTTTGGTTACTGTTAAAATAAATGTAAAGCTACCTTTGTGCTAGACTTGCGTTGTGTTATTGCAAATAATGTGTCACTGTTGCGCTATAATCCCTTAAAGATAACTATGAGTTTGCTATATTCAAATGGACACAAAGAAGTAAGGCAGTTCTGAGGGTGAAAGGGGCTCCGACCCAGTACGACCAAGGTGTATGTAATGTAGTGTCCAGTTTTTCTGTTATTCGATAATAAAAAAAAAATGACTTGACTTATGACAGAATCATAGTATGGTAGCCAATTACTGTTTTAGGAAGCAAACTTTGTAAAATTAAGATATTTATGGAGAACTGATGTGAATTTATGTTTGGGATATTACTTGTGACTGTCACATGGATGTAATACCTCAACCTGCAGCTGTGAATACAGGTTGAGGTATTGACACTGAATACAATGTCAATGAGTTTTTTATAAAACAATGGATGAAAATGTTTGACACGCATCACACACTGTCTCTGGCTTCTGTTACTCATTGTTTGATGTATCTGCCCTTATTCATTGGAGAGGGCAAGTAATGGTGCACAATGCCCCTGCTGCTACCTGTAAATAAAAATTTACCCAGTTATAAATTGTTGCTTGCGTCACATTTTGAATTAGTGGAGTTTTATTTAAATAAAAGGGGGGGAAACTATTAAAAAAGTGGTAAATAATTAAAATTGTCAGTGACCTGTACAGATTGTGACTTATGTCTTTTTAAAAGTGATGGACATGTATAAGCTCAAGTTCATACAAATGCTCTTCATCAGTACCAGTAGATTTTTAGTGAAGATGGCAACAACCAAACGAGTGGTGGGGTGACAGCACTTAGCTTTACCCATGGTGTTTATTACTGGCACAAGTGATGAATGTGCTTACTTCATTTGAGATGGCAGGAAGAAAGCTGTCACTGAATTAGCCCTTATTTTCTCCTCTCTGTCTGTGTTTGTGCCGTTCTCTCTTCCTCTCCACCTCTTTCTCCCTAATTAAAAAGCCAAATCAGGAGTTAAACTGCACAAACTGTGTCTGCCAGTGACATTCTCCAGCCTAATCCTCATTTTAGCCCTCTTTCCTCATCTTCTCTCTCGCCTCTCCTGACTGCGAGTATAAAACCACGGCAAAATCTTTTCTCCCCAAACACAGATTTATTCAAATGTACCATTTGCATAATTCAGTATTTACATAATTGATTTTCAAGGAAGCATTTCTCACCATGTGAGGTGGCTTTGCAGACCAAAAGGTCTCATCTTGACACGCACGTGCATGCACGTTCTTAGTGAAGTGTCACATTCTCTGCCACTGTTATTCAGTTTTTAACTCCCACAGAGAGAGAGACACACACACACACACACACACACACACACTGTTGTTCTAACATTTCAAGTCTAAATGAAGCATCTGTTGACCCTCATGATACACCCAGCAAACACAATTCAGCTCAGCATAGATTAATCAAATCTATTGAGATCCATTAAATTGGTGTGGTTGTGTGGAGTGGGTGTCATTATTTTGCTTCCTTGCACTGGAACTGTAGTTTTCTCCCTAGAAGTCAGTGTCCTGTAAAAACGACCAAGAGCACAACATGCAAAACCCCAAGAGGTGGAAAAGCAAAAAAAAAAAACCCTGCATAAATCTCTACAACTGTACAAATTTTTCTTCTCTAAGGGTAGTGTTCGTAGAAGGACTCAAACAAAAATGAACACTGCTTTCCAAAACAACATTTAAGTGTGTCTGTAGTTTGCTACAGACCTGGATGTTCCACAAAACTTCCTGACCACTTTGTTCTTTGCCCACATGAGACAAAAATGCATAATCCTATGTTTGGAGGATAAAAGGCAATGCAGACCAACTCCAGAATCTCATCCCATTTGTGAAGGATGCTGTATGAAGCATCACAGTTTGGGCCTGCTTTGCTAACTCAGGTTCTGGATGCCGTTCAATTATTGAAGGAGTGAATTTAAAAAGGGTTTAAAGAAATTTCACATTAGACTGTTAGAGCTGTCAACTCAAACCACATGAAAGATGGATAAAAACTTGTAGATTCCCTATCTACAAAATATATTGATGAAATATGAAAATTCCGATTTTGGAATGGCAAGGTCAGTCCTGATCTCAACCCAATTGAGATACTGTGGGATGACCAGAAGATGGCTGTTCAACTGAGACATGGAAGTAAGACTGAAGGAGGACTTTAGGGAGGAATGATCCAAATGTTTGTTCCGTAAGACTCAAAAGCACCAAAAAGCATCTAGTAAGATTAATGCAGCTGAAGAAGCAAATATATGTAGTAACAAAAAAATATTCAAGTTTTTTCCAGAATTGGAAATGTCTGAAACAGTTTGATCAGACTTTAAATGAACCCTACCACTCCCCGCCATAAACTCCCTGTGATATCTGATTGCACACGTCTGAGAACAGCGCGGGTAATTGTCTGGAGAATTCACAGTGAGGAAGTGAACGTCATGTGTCCTGCCTCCTGCAAAGACACCAACTTTGTCTTAACCAAACGATTCAGTAGTAAGAAGAGCAACTTTAAAATTTGTTAAAGCCTAAATTTGAAATGTTTCTGGTACAGTTACCTGCAGTCTAATATTTTTTTTAAGGAATATTCCTAAACTGTTGGCCTGATCTACATACAAACATAATCTGATCTGCAGACGGTTATAAACCAGCTGTATGTATTTCTGTTAACTGGGGGATCACAGTGAATTCTATATGTATTGGCTTGATCTAGGTTGAAGTCCCTGGGAATTAACCTTAGTCTAATTGGAATTCTTCTTTGGCTGTGTTATTGCTAGCTCAGTGGATTCAGACTCTTAATGTTCACATTGAGGCTGCTAACTGCTGGTCATCAGGGAGCTCGGAGCTGGAAAACAATGAGTGGATGCGTCTGAAATGCTATGTGGGCTATGGCCCATGAACTGCACCAAACTGCTTGGGTGTGAGTTTGTCTGCATTTGTATCACAACAAGCCCCTTCACCTATCTTCTGAGTCTGTCATCTATGGAAATGGGACCTCCACACTCCTGTGAGCACTGCTGGGGACTACATACACACAGCACAAACACAGTCACATTCAGACACATACTTGGTTTAGGGCCAGCCATTGAAGAGCAGGGAGGTTAAACAGATGGCATCGGCTGTATCCGTTACACGGATTACCCAACACACACATGCATTCTGCCGCAACTGGCTTTGTGAGTTCACCTCATTTAACTGAATGGTGTCTTTATGAGGCATAGCAACATTCGAGCCACCTACTGCTCTAATCTGCCCCTTTCTGTCCTGTGTCTAATGCCAGACTGGCAGTACTTGGTAGGACTTCAAATTCCTTAACAGAATGTTTTTGATTTGGTGATATTCAAGAATATGTCGTATTATAAGATTTTATTATGGTATTAAAGACTCGTATTGAGGCTTATAAATGATCATATAAATACAGCTGGTGAACAGCTAGTCTTGGCTGGCCTACTAAAACGTCTTAAAGCAAACCGTAATCATACACATGTATAATTGCAATTGAACTGTTATTGTTAAAACTAAAAGTTGAGGCTTAAACTGACAGGAAATCGTCTGTAGTTTTTTTTTGTTGTTGTTGTTGTTGTTGTTGTTGTTTTTTTAAGCCAGAGAGATTTCTTCAGTCTCTGAAGCACAAGAACAGGATATACACATGGTCCACTTTTGCATACTTTGTCTACCAACTCTATGTTGTGGTTTCTACTTTTTTACACTCTTTTAAAAGTGTAAAGATAATCTCTTCTCTCTCAACTGAAGAAAAAAATCAAGGCACATCATGAGATACAAGGCAGTGAAGTGAAACAGGGCATATAGGTGGTCAGGACAGGGAGTGTGAATGGAAAACTGACAGGGTAGTAAGGACCGTGAGACTTGTTTAGATCCAAAAACATGTAGAGTATGAAGATTTTGACACTTGTGATACAAAGTTACTTGGTTAGAGAGTCCATGTTGCAATATACTGGATGTATTATGAGTGCTATGAGTAAATGAAATGTGCCATATAAATAAACTTGCCATCGCTAGAATGACATCTCGGGTGACATTTTATATCTGGCAAATTAAGTTTAAATCTTAACCACTTGCTCTGCAGTGTGATGTATTAACCTTGTTCTGTCCTTGATCCTTTTCATTTCTTTCTTCTCTTGCTTTTTGCTACTTTCATTCGCCCCCTTTCTTTATATATCTCTACCTCACCTTCCTTCTCCACTCTCATAATATACTTGCTGGTTGTTTGCTCTTCCTCTTTGTCTCTTTAACCATCTACTCCAACCCCGTGCCTTTCTTATATCCTCTACTGTCTAACTAACTCCTGCTCCTTCTCTCTCTCCCAGCCTGCAGATTTGGATGCCTGGGTAAGCAACACCACCATCGCTAGTGCCTGCTTCTTTTCTTTCTTTCTTTCTTTTTTTAAATCACGTTTTGTTTTTTTTTCTTGCTCTTCCCTTCTTGCTCTCTCTCCTCTCTCTCTCACTCTCTCTTCTCTATTCAAATGTCATGTTTTCATTGTGCATTAAAGCGAGGCTGTGAGTATGCTGCCGCCACCATTCCACACAACAACACTTTGGGAGGTATTCAGCTAGAAAATTACACATCATCTGTGCTGCTGGCAGAGGTGATTTTACTCACAAACACATATATATACACTCACATCCCTTAAGCGTCAGTGTAGAAAGGGAAAGCTCTGTGAGCACAGTATAGGGATTTACAGATGTGTTCCTTGGGAATACATGCGACTGTTAAGTTAGGATGAGATTAGATTGGATTACAATAAATGTGATGTCAATCAGCGTAAGAGTGTGCGTCTGCATGGTTGTACCCACCGTATCAGCAAAAAGCAGGGAAGATCAGTAGATCAGTCAGGGAAGATGTTGTTGTTCCATCTGATCTATATCGCTCTCGCTAATGCACAACTCAGTACAGTAATCAGTCATCATTACACCATCACACAGTGTGTGTGTGATGGTGTGTGTCCACATGCGTGTGTAATACAGTCTTTCTGTTTCAGTTCTCTATAAATCCAGGGCCCATTGTTGCCTTTTGCTGCGGCACCCGCAGCCACTTACATTGTGTTCATGCACCATGTCGTGTTCATACTGTTGTAGCACTGCTTCACTCATTACCCATATTGGTTAGATATAATTTGCATTCATAAATGCCCTTCATGAACACTAATTGGCATTCATTTTTAAAATGTAGACATACCCATACCGTACGTTCACCTTTATAGATTACAGGTAGAGAGAATTCAACCATCTCATGCACAGCGTGCTCGTTCAGCTAACTCTTCTAAGGCTGATGCAACTTGGCTATCTATATGCAATTAAGATTTTGCAGCTGTTTGGGTTTTTTAACTGCTGCATGATGAAACTTTTAACATATGTATGTAAACACTTAGGTCCTCAACCAGCTGGCAGGGTTTTTGGAGCAACAGTTGAATTTAAGCTCACCTTAGTTAGTTTTATTACTGTGTAATGCCTGTGTTCTGAATATCATGTTCTCATAGAAAGAGCACCGTACCTTTTTATTGCTAAATGAGTCAGTGACTGTCCAAGCAAAATATTTTCTTGCTTTTATGATCCAGGCCATGTTTGTTTATTCTACTCACTGTATCTTTCTTTTTTCCATTTTAAATGTTGTGATCAGAGGTTCTTAAATTGGCTCAGTGAATAACACCCAGTAATATCACACACTGAGCTCAAGGCATGGCTAAACAACCCTGATCTGTAGTGTGCCTGCGTGACATTTGTGACATTGCTTCCTTACTTGCACAGTTCTTTTTCTTGCTTTTGTCACTTGTCTTTACACCTTTGCTACAGTTAACCACTGTATCTTCTTTTAAGATTATTTGAATCAGTATTTCTTATAAAGAAGTTATTTTCTGTCCCTTTTTTTGTAATATGAAATAATATCGACTCACTTTAAATTCTCAAGCAGTTAAAAGAAGGTGACTCCATAACAGTTCTCCTTTACAACAAGCATTTTCTTTGCAGCCACCATGCATGCGTATTTCTGACTTAAAGCTGATTTAAAGCTCATTTTCAGTGTATCTTTTTGACGTCTGCCTCCTGTCCTCCTCTGCTTGCATGCTGCTACGTCATGGCCCAAACTATGGGTTTTCCTACAGCCAATCTGCCACCTCGCTGCCTGTCAAAACTTGGCTAAAGCCATTCACCTCATCTTAACGCCAGCGACGCAATGTCAGCCCCTGCCACAGCTGTCCCAGTCTCATGCTACCTGAATAGTTTTGTAAGTTTTGTTACAATGCATGGACATAACCTTAAATAGCTGTTTTGTTGTTAATTGTTGTGTGTTACTTTGTGATGTAGATGTGTATAATCATAGACTTTCATCAAACAATATAAATAAAGTAGTGTATAGATAAGAACACACACATATTCCTGGAAAAATACTTTGTTTTTTGCCATAACTATAAACTTGTGAAGGATATAATCATACTTAGAAAGTTCTCCTTGTGCTATCTGTGTATCCCCCATATCTAAACGTGTTGTTAAAGGACAGGTTTCTATGTTTTGTGTGCTCACTAGCAGTGAATAGATGGCGGGCCTTTTGTAGTTTGGCTTGCATTTTCTTGGTAAAAATCTGGAAAGTGTAACTTAAAAAAGTGTTAGTGTTTTTTGCCTGTGGCTGTTTTGCTCCGGCAATTCTACAACTGCGCAATATTATATCAGTATTGAGTTCTATATATTAGATCAGTTATGTACTCAGATTATGATTGCACGGTGGGCAAAACAGTTCCAGTGCAGTTCCAGTGCTAGTGAAACTTACGGATTTTCTGAAATGTAGACTCTGCAAGTACTTCCAAATACTGTACTCTGTACTCTGTACTGTACTAGCTACAGTAACAAGTGGCATATATATGTTGTCTGTAATTTGTCTGTGATTTAAAAACGGTTATTTTGCATGATGGTTACTGTTAGTAACCGTGTATTCCTACTTTGATTTACAGTGGGTGGACTGTGTAGTCAGAGTTGATATTTTGCTGTATTTTTCCAGTTCAGGGTTTCGCTGAAAGTCTTGAGGCTTTTAGCGCTACATTGCAGTCTTTAAATGAGCACACATTCAGTCCTAAATGGGTAAATGGCCTGTATTTGTATAGTGCTTTACTTAGTCCCTAAAGACCCCAAAGCGCTTCACACTACATTCAGTCATCCACCCATTCACACACAAAAATGCACAATACGATCCAAAATTGATGATCCACACTTTATTTCTTTATTTTTTTTTTCCAAAAAATGGGAAGCTAGTGCAGTGATTAATTGAAATATGCAGTAATACTTGGAAATACAGTATATGAGTCAAAGAAAAAGGTGTTTTTACATTTTCAACAAGCTTGAAAGTCAATATTTGGTGGGACCACCTTTATTCTTCAAACTGTCTGAACTCTCTTACGCAGCTTTCTTGTCATTTCTTCAAGTAGTCTTTAGGAATAGTTCTTCAGACTTCTTGAAGGACATTCAAAGCTCTTCTTTGGATGTTTGCTGCCTTTTGTTCCATTCTCCCAAGATGTGCCACACTGCTTCACTTATGATTTTTATTATTTTATTGTGGGGCCTTTACCTTACAATATCAAGCACTTTCAGGTGACTCTTGTTGTGAATTGGTCCTATATAAATAGAATTGAATAATGTTGAAGTTCCACTGTGTATGTGTGTGTGTTTTTCAATTGATTTATGACTTTAGTGCATTGGCAGTGTGTTTGAGCTAATTTCATGCTGAAAAATGAAGCAATTGCCAATCAGACACTTTGCAGATCTGAAGATGCTTTTCTGTGTTCAGAACTTGGACGAGATCCCCAACACCACTGGCTGAAATGCATCCCCAAACCATGTCTGTGTTTTACAGACGGCTCTACACACACTCTGTTGGACATCTCCTGACCTCAGCATACACAGTGACAACTATTTGAAACAAAAATCTGGATTCCTCACACTGTCAGACCTGTTGCCACTGATTTTCAGTCTAGTTCTTGTGTATTTGGCAAACCTCTCTTTTCTTCCTGTTTTCCATCTTTAAGAATGGCTTCTTGGCAGCCACCTTTCCATTGAGACCATTTCTGATGAGACATCAGTGAGCAGTAGATGGATTAACCAAAGGTCCAAATGCATCACTCAGGACCTGTGTCAGCTCTTTGCTGGATTTTGTTTTCCTGTTTGTTAAGGACATGACTTTCAGATACTGTTCATCTGCTGTAGTCATTTCTTCAGGCCTGCTACTACATTTTTTTTGTTGTTGTTGTTTTTCGCTCTGGTTTTGTCCTTTTTTTCCTTTTTCCCCCTTTTTTTTAAGGATGCACCACCCACCATGCAAAAATATGCCAGGTTTTCAGCTCTTTGGGACTCACTTGTTGGTGCAAAAATACTATTTTTATGGCGATCAAGCTGTGTTATCATCAGTATCTTTCATAGATTCAACTGGAACATTCTGTTAGTAACAAAGTGCCTAAAGATATAATTTAAAATTGGTTCTTTGCTGAGTTGTCTGTCATGTGTAGGCACAACTCTGTTTTTTCTTTTTAAGTTGGGTACCTTTTCACACTAGAATGTTTCATAGATTACTGTTAAGTGACAAACAAGTCAGGTACAAGGACTGGACTGAAACTCAGTGAAAAAGAAGCCAATGTCCAAAGAAGAAATCTAAAAAGACTTTCAGAAACTTGGAGACCTGAGACCATTTAAAAATGACAAAGTCTGGCAACTTGGAAGCAAAACATAAAGAAAGGTGCGGCTTGAATCATTTACACAGTACTGTATGAAACCGGATCCCAAGACTACAATATTGATGTGACACAATAAACACTGACCAGTACCATCCAAGAATTTACACATGTATGTCATAAAATACAGTGCTATGTCATTGTAAAGAATATCTGCAACAGCTGGTCTTCACATGTCATTTAAAAAGTGGTATACTCCTTATTCTTATTCTTTTTCCCTTTCCTTTCTCCCCCCCTCTTGCAGGCCCGAAACCTGGAGATGAAAGAAAGGGAGCTTGCTACTATATCCAGCTTCTATAAGGAGCAATTGGAAATACTGGAGAAAAAGGTAAAAGCCATGTCCTTATCTCATAAACATGGCTGCTATTGCATATCAATATTGGCAACACTAACATTGGTATACTGTTTAAAACAGGAAGCCAAAACTCACCTGAATGGCTTTTCCATTTGTCCACTGGTTCCCTTGTTTCTCTGCTTTGTTTCCTGGTGGGTTTGTTAGAAAGATACAAGAATTTACATTTTTTAGATGTATAACAGCCGATCTCACTAATGAGATGAAAAACATCCTGTAGACTTGGAATGAAAAGACAACTTCACATATAAGGAATATCAAAACAAATCCTTAAGTGAGATACAGTATTACTCACTCTCCATAGAGATTAAGATCTTGGTGGAATACAAGACACTGTTTCCTGTCTTGGAAATGCCAAGCCCACGTACCAGTGTCGAAATATGAATGTAAATGAATTAAAAGTTTCAGCAGGCATATCAGAGGCATGACTTTCTGTTGATGGGCCCGCACTCAAGAGGTTCCTCAGATAGCTGGAGTTGCCTAATGCAATGCACTGTGCTTTTCTGTTTTCACTGTATACTTTTGTTTTGTTTTTTAGTGCTTTAAAGGAATTATGTGTTGTTTTCTCTCTACCTAATTTGCTTTTGATATTGTGCACGGTAAAAATCACTGCAATGGTGGTTTGATAAAGCTTTCTTTCAGTGTACCCAGTAAACTTTGTGAGGAGTAAGGCTGCGCTGGCGTAGGATTTTGGTTGATACTCTAAAGCATATGCAGATGCTGCAAGGACTGAAAGTAAATTTAGAAAGAACAATTCCAAATTAACACAGATGATAAAGTATGCTGAAAAAATATGAATAATTAAATGTAAAGGAAACAGGGTTTGAATGGATGAGTGAATTTCTTTTCTGTTCATTATCTTTGTCATGTTTAATTTGACTGCTCATTTTAAATATGACAAAACTTAAATAAATAATCCGATGTGAGCCAAAAGGTCAGGCTGCTGTAAACGTTCGGCTTCCATCAGTGTTTTCAACTCTTGGATCTGTTTGATGCCAAAAGGAGAGATTTCCCTGGCCGTCTCTTGGCTGTGGGCAAAGCAACCTCACCCACTTGTTCTGTCTGACTCAACAATTTGTTCTGCACAGAAAATGTATAATCAAACGTAGACGAATAGCCTACGTTTGATCATAAAGCAAGCTAGGGGGCGGCTGTGGCACAGGGGGTTGAGTGGGTCATCTACTAATTGGACAGTCGGTAGTTTGAGCCCCGAATCCCCCAGTCTGCATGTCAAAGTATCCTTGGGCAAGATGCATCCATCAGACTGCGTCTAAATGTTGGGCAAAAGTCCTTAGGCATAGGAAAAAGCATTTTTATTAAGGGGCATGGATGGGTAAATGAAGCTTTGTAGGAGGAGTGCTCAGAATAAAAAAATCCAATATTGTTTAAGCAATCATAAAAGTCTAAGCAAAATATTGAATTTGCTTTATTTGTATTGTAGTTGGAAATATTTAAAGTAAGAGTCCCTATAAATAAAATGTGCAGTGAGATAATAGTCAGTCAATATTATAGCACATTTCCCATATGTGCACTTATTAACAGGGACATAAATAGACACAGTTTCATACAGCTTACGATTGAAAGATTAAGTCCACCATTATGTTCCACATTAAGCAAGTGATTAGTGTTAACTTTGCTATTGATGTTTTTGCTGTCCACTTCCATTTTCCAGATCTTATATCAGCTCTGACATCTAATTGAGGGATGACTAATTCCAGTAAAGAAGAGGAAAGTTTTTTTTTCTTTGTCTACAGCTTGTTTACAGAAGCTCTTTGTCAGAAAACAATGACGTAAATACCCACAAGCACCTGCTTCCACCTGGAGGCAATGAGGAGAACTCATAGAAAGTTGGCCTCAAAGAAACTGTAGCTAAATCAGCTTGTTTCAGACAGTTCATGAACTAAGGCCTAGTATAAGATAAGGGTTTTTCTGAAATGTGAATACTATAGTGTTACCATAGTAGACTAAAAGAGAAAGATGGAACTGGAAATTAGTCCAATAAACTTTAAGGTTACATTAACATAACCTGATAGCAAAATACACAATGGAAATACACAAAGAAATGAAAAGGTATCCGGTAGATGCAAATAACCTTACTCCAGTTTCCCTTCCCTTTGTCAGTCCCGTTTCCCTCCTTAAATCCCAGCTTTCCCTCAGGTATTTGGTAGACACTCCTGGGGTCTTGACTCCCTCTCTGCGCCTCTACTCAGTCTCTCCCTCCCTGTAGCAAGACCCATCAGGCAGAGGGTTACTTTATCTACTCCCTAACACTCGCCTCCTTTAGGCCTGTGAGAAAACCTTTTACATAGGCAAGTTAAATGGGAGGGCCCCTGCACTCCGTGCAGCAAGCAACACGCGGTGCAATACTTGACGGAAGAGACTGATTGGCAGAAGAGTGCAGTATGGTCTATCTTTCTCCGCTTGCTGCTGCAGTCCCGTTTTCTATCTTTTTTATTTCGCCCCTCACTTGCACACAGCTGACCTGCATTTGAATGAGGAAGCTAAAAAGCAGGGTACTGAGAGGGAGAGATAAAGAGGCTATATGGACTGTGCATTAAACAGACAGTCTATCCTGAGCCGGCATCCACCCTCCTCCTTCTTTTTCTTCATTTTCCAGTCTAGTACTCCATTCATCCAGTTCTCCTTTCAAGCTTCCTCTCCATTTCCTTTGCTATCTTTTTTTCTTTTCACTCGCTCATACCTGGTGCAAATTCCAGTGGGGCTGAAATAAATGGCCACTTAAAAGTTGAATTGTGACTGACACAGGTTATATACATAAATGCAAAGCACAGGCTGAAACAGTAATGTGTCTCACTTGTGACACAACTGATTCAATCAAGTCTTTAAATGGCTTTCCATACTTTAGCCTTTTTACATTCTGTGAAGACATGTCAAATGTTAGAACTGAGAAATGTTATCAGTAACAGGATTGGGTATTGTTGCAGCTCAATGTAAAACAGAGAAATTGAAAAGAATCCAGCCTGTTATCGGCACACAGTTCAAAAAGCTATTATCCGCGATTGTATGGAGGTCCATTAGTACGCATGGCATGGGTAACTCGTGCACCCAAGGAGCAATTCTTGAGCTGCTTTCTCTTTTAGCATGACAGATGCAACAGGCATGATTTCAAATGCAAATTTCAGGTTTAAATTTGGCTGATGCACAGCAGACTGACAATCTTCAGACCCAGATAGGTCCGCAGGGCTTTATTTATTGGATCATTGTATTATTTATCTCTAATTTTATTTTACATTGCAAATGGAGTTAGCCAAAGGTTGGAAAGGCGGTTTAAAAAAAAAAAAAAAAAGGACAATCCACGGGTAATCTGTGTGTGGCGTTCCACTGAATCAACATTTTACTTTGGCTTAGCGTCAGAGTTTTCTAACAGGTTAATAATGGTGTATATAACTGTGTGCACACTGTGTGTGTGCCGGTGTGAGAATACACACAAGCAAGCTCTAGTGTCCAGTTTGCCTTAGGGATGAATGATGATAACAGGCTGTAATGTTTGTCTAAGGGCTGCGGAGACTGTTTGAATTCACTCCTGACACGAATGTGAAAACGGTGTGTGCATGTTTGTGTGCAGGAGTTTGTAAATTTGTGGGCTCTGACAGGTTTGTGCGCATGCTGTCATATCAGAAGTAATTGTGGCCAATCCATTGCACAACTTCCACACATACATGTATTGTGTATATACAAAACAACACACAAACGCTGCAACGCCGGCTGAACATACCAGTGCATCTTCTAATTCTGCTCCTTCCCAAATCTCCTTCCCTCCTCCTCTATTTTTTGGATGCCTCCCTAATCTCTCAACAGTGTAGAGGTAGTGTATATCTGTCTTCCTGTGGAAATATACCCTGTGACTCTGTAAACAAGCCTCACTTTAAAATTCACCTCTTTTAATCCCTTCTACCCCCCCTTTTGTGGACTGCTTCCTAGAAAAAAAATTAATCCTCCTCCGTCCAAGCGCGGCGCATGAAACAACCCCTCCCTCGAAATCCTGACATCAGCCCATCTCAGTCCACAGCTCCTGGAGGGTGTTCAGACAAGTGTACGCTCAAGGATCATCTGAACACAACAATTCAAGTAGAAACACAGATTTAGTCACACACCTGCATGTATGCAAGCTAATACACAACCACTAATCCCCTCCGTGAACCTTTCCAGCAACCCCAAAACCTTGCCTTCCCCCACTGAGGGCTGTCATCCCCTCTTTCTGCTTCTCCACATAGGGCTTTTGTCCCCATGGGTGGAAATGACTTGGAAGAGCTCAGTGTGTGTATGCCAGTGATAGAGCTACCTTCTCTCTGTAGTCACGAGAGCTGAGCTAGGGCTATTCCTTGGGGTTTGTTCTTGATTAGACACAAAATAACATGTGTATATATACACAACCACTGAACAGCATCACAGCCCCCCAAAGTTTCTGTTGGATTAGCTGTACCTGCCTAGCTTATTCACATATGTTGATTCTCTTGGTTTTTCCTTTGGTTTGTTTCATTATTTCTGCATGTTTGTGTGGAGAAAAACAGACAAGATGCTCAAATGAAGCATGAAAAGGCTCCAAATTGGAAAATTCCTGACAATCTCTGAAGAGCACACAGTTTGCAGGGATAAAATATAATATAAACAAGCAGTGACAACATAACTAGTGAAAAAGTTTGTTTTCATTGCATGTTTCTGTGATTTATTTATTTATTTTTTGCATCACTCAGTCACCTATCAACCACTGCATTACCTCTCTAAAACCTTTTAAGATCGAGCTTTCGTTTAGGATATGCCAAAAAATGACCCCTTTTGACAGCAAACATTTCGACACAGTCTGTATTTATAAAACAGGCATATTAAAGTCTGCAGTCCCTTTAAGGAAGGTGATGCTATTGTGCATCCGTTTATTGAGTTGACTTGGACACTTGATGGAGATGAGCTCTACCAGTGCTGTCCTCACTGTTACAAGTTAAAATGTTTGCTACAAAAAAAGTTCATTGTCAGCAACAAGTTCACTTTACCTTTAAACCATCTACTTGCTGCTTCTCTTTCTGGTGCCCAGCTCTCTTTGTCCTGCGTAATCAGAGGCACCCATGGGTTTAAGCCCCTGTGGAGACATCTTTTTTTTTTCTTTTTTTTTTTTGTATCTTGGCTCAAACACTTGATGTCCCACAAGGGAACCATAAACTTTCAAGTTTCAGCTCAGCCTTCCTCGGAGTCTGTCCATTGAGCCCATTGACCTGAGGCTAAGGGCTAAGCCACTAATGAGAGACTAAGTTCTTACCACAATATTCCCAAAGGGTGAACCAAAGTAGAAGCTTCACTCCAGCAAAAAAATGAGTCTTTAATGTCCATGAATTCAGGGACTGGTTGCTAGTACTGTCAGATTATGGCATTTATTAGTGATGGTTTATGCTTAGTAGATTAATAAAACATCTGAGCAGAAGTTCAGAGGTCTGAAAATGTCTCTTTTTTCAAAGGTACAGGATGGTGGTATGAAATATGCTTGACTTGAAACCTTTGAGTTGGAGTTATTACTCCCCCATCCCTGTCAAGGTATGGTATTTAAACCTAGTCATATACTGGCAAAGGAGAGACATGGCGACAAGAGGAGTCTAATCCTGAGTTCTGTCCTGGATAATCCAATATAGCACAGCTAGGAAGCATAACTGGCAGTCATACACCTGGGGATGTTTGGCATTTTCACATTTTGAGTTACTGTGCAGCCCAAACATAAAAACTCAGGCAGATAGGGGAGGTAAAGTGTAGCTGGGCACATTTATTAATTACTTTTTTAATGTACATTTACATTAGCATGTTTACGCACCTCTGCATTGTTGTCCACATTTCTATCTTAGCGACTGTTAGGTGTGTTTGAAAATGGTGTGGTTGGAAAAGGAAATGTATGTGCTGAATTGATTTATTATCGTATTTATAATGGATCTTTTTGAATCCCATATAAAAGGTGATTCTTGTCTAAATCTGGTGCCTACAGCTTCACTACTTCATCAAAGTTGGTGCTGATTTGAAATATCCTCCTCCTTACAAGACTTATGACTCCTCTTTTCCATCTTTTCTTTAAAGAACAGGGATGAAGATAATGGAGAAGCAGATTATTACACCGTAGTGAATACTAAAAGATAGGATTAAGGAAAAGATGCCTATGACATTACTTGATTCAGTTCCAACACCAGACATTCAGATCAGAAATTGCATGTCTGCACATCAGCTTGAAATAATGAGATGAGAAAATGACTAGGGGGCACTGGAGGAGTAGAGGACTAGGGATTGTGGGGGAGGTTTGTGTTTGATCCCATCTCTTCTCTACTCCATCACTTCAATTATCTTCCTCTCCTATCACCCAGTCTTTTGGGAATATGGGGAATAATTAAGTAAAAGCCGGAGCACCGCGGTTATTGGTTTAAAATGGCGATTACTGCTCACTGAATGCATACGAGAGGTTTGGCTACAGAGATTTGCTTTGTGTTTGGGGTATTCTAGACAAACTGTATTTCAGAGGTTTTGACGCAAAGCCTGCCAGGTGATCCTACGTCTTACTGAGATGATGATTTTAAATGTACTCGAGACTTTTTCCCCACACAAGCACACACGGGAAAGTTCCTCAACATAACTGATAGAGGTACATATAAGTATGCAGATATCCAGTCATTTAACAGATTGTATATTAACAGCTGCCTGGTTTGAAGGAATGTATGTGTCCATTTGAATCCCTGTGAAAACAGAGCGGGAAGATTTGCATAAAACGTGTGTGAAAGGCAGCTGGGGTTTGTTTTCTATTAACTTTCTGCTATTTGCTGCTCATTTAGACCACGATGCTGTACAGTTAGCACTGTGACCACTGATTACAAAGGCGTACTCTATGCGACCTGGCTCTAGTTACAAGATCAATTTGTGATGTAACTTTATTTAAATGCCACGGTTTGTCACATGAGAGAAAGAAAAACATGAAGTACCAACAGACTATCAACATTCAGATTTGTAAGCAGGCTGTAAAATTCAAAGGTCACTAATTTAATGAATGTGACATTTTCCAGTGTTGTTTTATGCATTTTTCTTATCGTTGCTGGCTTTTAAAGCTTGTGCTAAATTGGAAAAGGTAGTTGTAATTGTGGTAAAATTATGTAGATTATAATTCATGGAACTTGATTTGGGGACTTTAATGTAGTCTGTTTTGATTTTTCTGTTTTGTAATTGTGTGATCTGAACATTAAGTTATACTTAACCTTGGAAACAAGTTCTAGTATCATTAAATGCAGCCTCCCGAGAAGCTTTTTTGAGCCATGAAACACTGTTGAATTCATTCTCGTATTTCTTACTTTGTCTCTTTGCCTGCAGAGTTTTGAAAACTACAAGGAGACGGCTGAACAGTACAACCAGGCAGCTACTAAAGCTGAGGCTAGAATCCGGTAAATACTCTGCATTATCTTTGTAACACTATGTTTGTCTGCTGCTTGCTTGCTTACTCAGTATTTATTTTTCACTTATTTCATTTCTAGATTGTTAATTATTTTTTGCTATTTTGCATCAGGGTTTTTTTTTTTTTAAAAATACACCTTTAAATGATCTACCGAGATTCACATCTGATTTCTTTGCTCTATGCTAGCCCTCCAAATTTAAATGGAAGATGCACTGGGAAGTTGTCAGAAAGCAGATGTGCTTGTGTAAAGGTGTAAAGGCTATTTGCGACATTGGTATGCTGTTAATGTGAACACTAGACTCCCTGCTGCTTGGCACTTATCCACACATAGTGGAGAGGCTGGGTGATAATTTGCTATTATCACTTCATGTTGCCTCCATAATATTATTGTGACAAAAAAATCTCTAATTATCATATCAATTGATATTCCTCTCTAGATAATAAGGTAATGTTTCCTGTTTTAAAATACGTGGGAATATACATGGATTTCTTAAAATTAAGGTTTGGATCCTTAATTTTGTATTAGCTTTAAATCACAGGATAACACATTCATGCCAGGCCATTTTTACCATTTTCCCTTTACGATGGATGAATATCCGAACAAAACAATGTCTAGATATTGCTGCGAGACGTTGTCTTGACTTTTCAGTTCTAGATTTGGCACAGTGAATAAAGTAAACATATCTGTTGATACCTTTTATGTTTGCTTTTCTTGCCTTTGTTTAAGCTTCTCGGTTGTTTCTTTTAAATCTCACTTTCATGTGTCACTGTACTGTGAAAAAAATGAGGCCCTGGGAACATGGAGAGTGGCTAGGAAAAAAAAAGTCACTGTTAATCCAGACAGGCGCACACATTATCCTCAAAGCTTTTAGGAGTTGTTCTCTGATCTGATGGTCTACAAGTAGAGCTGTTTGGAAACAGGAGTCCTTCACATGTGAATAGAATTCCAGCTTGAATTATTTGAAGGCATTTAAATGTTGAAGATCACACATGTTTCTACTATGAATACCTGACTGATGTGTAGATTTGTATAATGACATAGGCTCATTTCCACTTGCAACTGTTAGGTATGGGGTTAGACTCCCGTTTGCCTTCAAAACTGACTTAGTCCTTCATGGCATAGATTCAACAAGGTGCTGGAAACATTCCTCAAAGATTTTGGTCCATATTGACAGCGTCAGTCATATCATGCATATGCTGCAGATTTATTGGTTACGCATCCATAATTCAAATCTCGCGTTCAACCACATCCCAAAGGTGCTCTATTGGATTAAGTACAGTGATCTTATTGTTATGTTCAAGAAACCAGTTTGAGATGGTTTGAGCTTTGTGACATGTGTTACCTGCCGGAGCAGTCACCAGAGGATGTGTGCACGGTGGTCATAAAGGGGTAGACATGGTCAACAATGATACTCAAGTAGGTTGTGGCATTTAAACAATGCTCAGCTACTAGGAAACCTAACGAAAATATCTTCCCACCATTAAACCAACAACAGCAACCTGAATTATACCAGTTTAATGGTATGTTTTCAAGTAGTTTATCAGATCAGTCAGTGTTTTTTGAATCTTTTGTAACCTGGATTTGTAGCCTCAATTTACCAGTTGTTAGCTGACAGGAGTGGCACCCAGTTTGGTCTTCTGGTGCTGTACCTCATCTGCTTCACGGTTGTGATGTGTTGTGGATTTAGAGATGCTCTTCGGAAGATGTTGGTTGTCAGACGTGTTTTGTTTTGTTTTGTTTTGTTTGTTTGTTTTTTTTAGTTACTGTTGCCCTTCTGTTAGCTATAAGCAGTCTGGCCATTATCCTCTGACCTCTGACACAAAACATTTTGGTCCACAGAACAGAAACTCCCTGGTAATATTCTCTTTTTTAGATCAACCCTAGAGATGGTTGTGCAAGAAAATCCAGGTTGATCAGCAGTTTCTGAAATTATTCAGACCAGGCTGTCTGGCACCAACAGCTATGTCAAATTCAAAGTCTCTTAAATCACCTTTCTTCCTCATTCATTCAAACTTTAACAGGTCATCCTGCCTACCTGCCTGGATGCATTGACTTGCTGACGACTGTCTGATTAGATATTTGCGTTAATCGGCAGTCAAGCAGACGTACCTAAAACGTTGCCAGTGAATGTATTTATCTACAATATCAGAAACATCTACTCTGTTTCATCACGGCTTCTTCTGCATATGTGCAGATCAATGGATTGCGTCTGCTGGAGAGATTTCCCAAAGCAGATATTTATAATGCATTCCATAAATGAAAAGCCTAATCAGTGGGTCCCTCCAGCCTGACGCTTCCATCGGTTTTTCAATCTCATTTCTAATTTATCTCACTCTGGCTAATTAGACATTTGTGTTAACAAGCAGTTCAACAGGTATACTCAGCAAAGTGGCTGATAAGTGTGCATTAATGTAGCACATTGGAACTTCTCTGTCTGCACGTTTTTGTTTTTGTTTTTGTGGTGGGGGGATGGGATCGTGGCGGTCTCTAATAGCCACCAGCCTGGTCTGCTCCAAGGCAAACAGAAATGCTGTGACTTTGCTAGACACAGTGGTGCTCTCCTGGGACAACAGTGATTTCAGTCCTGTCAAAAAAATCATGTCAGTTTGATTCAACACTGAGCCACCACCACCACACCTGCACTGCCAGAGCATCTGAGCATTTCTAATTTATGCCCCTCCATAATACTTGTTCTCACTTTTTTCCAATTTTTTGTCAGAGAGCCGTTTTCCTTTTGGTTTCCATTAACACATACTTTTCGGTCTGTACCCTGATGTCTTTTTGTACATAATTATAATAAACGTGTAAAAACGGACCATTAACAAGACAAAATTGTAATTTAGGAGGTGCCAGTATCAGGGTTTTACAGAAGCAGTGCTAAAATTATAACCCTACTACAGAACAGTTCAAGTCTTTGAACTGTTCTGTAATAAGTTGGTTTTATTGAGTAAATATTCTTTCTTCTTCCACTTTGTTTCCAGTGTGCACATACTTAATGATTACTATCATTTAACGGATCAGTCTGAAACCTGGAACCTGGATAGTAAAGGTAGAGCAAGTTTGTGACGAAAGTCATTAGTGGGTGGTTGGTTAGTGTAATGGCACCAAACTTTCTACAGTGTTGTTTGTATTTGAATGCAGCTGTCATTTCCTACATTGAAAATTATTTATTTGTCATCATTGTCACCTTTTTCTGGTACCTTGAAGAGAAAATATTCAAATTTCCATCTCCTTTACAATAATGTATTGCCATACAGCTTTTATACTTTACCTTTGTAGTACTAGTTGTTGTGTTTATTGTTACGTTGTATAGAGCAGTCGCACACAGTTTATTTCACTTTTAGAAACGGCAGATAGAAAAAGTTGCTTGGTCTCTTTTCTGGCTTTGTACTGCGTAATGGGCAGTGACCTCATCCACAACATTGCCATTTTCTTGCACCTGGTCCACTGAATTCAGCGGCATACAATTCAAGTCTAAAATTTTGTCCAAATGATTACATTAGCAGGGATTTGCTATTGTCTACGGCTGCATGGAAGAGGTTAGGAGATCACTTCAGCACAAGTTTGCCAAAGGAATAGCATTTAGTCCCGCCACAATGTGTTTCTATTGCTTTTTTTCAGTGCGGCACACAAACTTTCACTCCTTTTCCGCCTTTCTATCTCTGCCACCAATACAGGCACACTTTGTATTCAGGCAGCCATGTGCTCATCATGTTCTGTCAGCATTTGGGCAGTGTTTCATTGTGCTGTGGTCACGCTGTCGTTTCACACTACACTGACCACCCAGTAATTATTCTATTTACCCACTGCTGAAAGGAGGGGCGAGCACTCGGGGATGCAGCACTGTCTAACATGCTATGTAGTTACAATATGTCTTCTTTTCTTTTTTTCTTTCTTTTTTGGGGAGGGTCTGTGTCTCTGATTTAGCCTCTCTCCATCTTATTGTAACAGTTTCCTAATTTTAAAATGAAGCCTGGATAGCTGACTCCTTAAAGTCTGTTTTAGTACAATTAATAGCAGAGCAGGATACCTGTGCACTGGATTGACCACACCAACTAATCATCTTAATGCAGTTTAAACATAGATAGTCTCACATGGCTATAAAATGGACTGCAATTTTTAGCACTTTTCGTGTCGCTTTTTTAGCCCTTGAGGTTGCTACTTGATCACGGGTTATTTACCTACACTAGTAACCATGGCTACCTGATAGAGCCCTATAAACACACTTAGGGAGGCTGAAATCAGGAACAGCAGTCTAGAGAAGTTAAGAACACCACCATTTCCCTTGTTTATTGACTTGTTCGGCCGTACCATTTTTTATTTTTTTTTCTGGTTCTCAGCTTTGATTCTAGGAATGACCCCAAATAGTTTAAGTGCAAACACTAATGCTAAAAGCAGCCTCTCAGACTTGAGGTGGCTACTTTCATAAAAGCAGAGCAAAAAGATGGAAGCCCCTGGGATGTTGACTGTAAAACATTATTCTCATGTCATCTCACGCGACATAGCGAACGGCAAAATGTTATCCAGTGTCATCTTCTACTTGCTTTGCCCAACAACATGAGGTTATTTAGAGGAGTTAATCCATTAGCCTTGCCTTGGGGTATCTGACTACCCATATTCCCTCAAAATGCTTTTCTGTAGAGACCCACAACATTGCAGTCAAGCTTACCTTAAGATCTAAAAATCCATTAATCCTCTTAAAAAAAAACTTGTTACTCTCAAAGTGTTAGCAAAGACAGAACCTTTGCAAACCTCAGGTGGATGTCTGGATTCATCATAAAGTAACTGCTGACAGTTTGTAGTTAGAACAAACTCAGATGAAAGCATGCTTTTATCTACTTTATTCTGTATATGCTCCTTCTGTTTTGTGTGCGTGTGCGTGTGCGTGTGCGTGTGTGTGTGCGTGTGCGTGTGTCTTCCATGTCCAATTAATGAAACAGACAGGTAGCTTACTGTAAGGATCTCTGTGCCCTCCAAAGCAATAGACT